AGTCGATCGGCACAGTGCGGGCATTGCCGATGTTTGCCCCTTCAGAGAGGACAAGCTGGGGGGTAGGAAGCCCCGGCAGGCTGCTCATCAACAACTGCATGCCATGGAGACTGGCCTCGGCAAAGTTGGTTCCATCGCGGAAGTAGTCTTGAAGAGTCCAATGAGCATGTTCTTGGGCACGAATCGGGTCATGCCCGGCAACAAACACGGTGTAAGAAACAGAATCTGAAGGATCCGATCTCTGTACTCGTAGTGCCGGTATCATGCGGAAGGCAGTGACCCGCACATGGAAGGCCGCGCTCAAGTGGAGCCCAGTTGGGCGCAGGTCGAGGTTCTGCAACACGGCAGGTAACAGGGGACGTGATCGGCCAGCCACTCCTTGCAAGGCAAGTTCAAGATCCGAAGGGTCAGCATAGTCAGCAGGACCTGGGGAAGTTGTACTTGTGGAGGTTGGCTGCAGCTCCAACAGTTCAGCTGGGGGCAGGTCACATTGCACAGCTTGCAGGTAGTCAGGCTCACCTGGCCCTAGTCGCAGCTCGACAAAGGGATCTCTGCCATTGGCAAGCAACTGATAAACCTGCTGTGCCTGTCTGTCATGTGGGCAGTCTGCGCTGCACTGTTCGACAAGCTCCTGGAATCTCACATGCGGCGCTATGGGCAGGGTGCACACTCGCCCCTGAACCCTACGGAAGTCGACAGGGGTGACGACTAGACCACGGGGATCGTCTCGCATGGTGGCTGTCAGCTGTGTAGGGGGTAGCTGCTCAAGTCGAGTATGCAGGAAGTTGACCGATACCAGTCTGGGATAGACACTGAGCAGATCGGCAATAATGTGATCGATGCTCCATCCGTGGGGTAGCTGGCGGGTCGTGCTGTGATCCGCTGAGGTAAACACGACATAGCGGTCACGGGTCGTGTCCTGCGAACTGACACCGGAGAGCCTATGTCCCGCATGCCAATTGAAGCTCGCCAGAGAACGGCCACGGAGCTCCGGGCGGTCGAGGTGCTCGGGCTGAACATGTACCCTTGCAGCCAGCTGCATCCTGAGATCAGTGAAACCCACGTGTTTAGGGCTCACCAGGCCAGAGGGCATGTCACCCGGGACGCCTGCAATCGTAGCAGTAAAAGCTGGAGCGTTGCTTTCCTCTGCTTGAGACCGGGTGCACTCAACAGGAGGCACACCGGAGTCTATGAGCCGAGATGCCTGGATGAGTGGAACCTCCGCCGGGGAGACCGGGGCCGGAGGGAAAGCGGCACGCAAGGCAGGACGGATTGCAGTGCCGCCAACAGGGCGCACTTGCTGCGACAGGGGGAAAACGGCCGGGGGCCGAAACAGGTAGTCCCCGGAAGGTAGCCGGGTAGGCATCGCCTGCATTTGCTGTCGGTTTGCTGGAACCATGAGGGTCGGCCAAGGTAGCCGCGAGGCTTAGGCAAGGGTCTGACACGGCAACGTCCGGCGCATGGTGAGGAGCGTGGGGGCCCGCTAGGTAGGCGGAGGCCGGGGTAGCATCTTCGAGGTTCACTCTTCCCGCCCTAACTTCGCCCTGTACAGCCATCCACGATGGCTCAGAGAGACACATCTGTACAGCGCGCTCACTCGGGAAGGCCTCTGGGTTCCGGGTTCTCCCGCCCTCGAGTCCATCATGCTCAAGAGGTACCGAGGGCTCCGGCTCGTCTGGCTCGACTTCTGGCGTGTACATGTGCCCAGAAGGAGCCTGGAATCCCGAACCACAGGGCTCCAACTTGGCACAAGGAACCCGAGGCGGGGAAACCCCACCCGCCAAGGGCTCATCTTCCAGACAGAAACTGACTCTGTGCGGTCGTCTTGTCCTGTCGTTGCCTTCGGGTTGAAGAATGCCCAGACCTGCCGTTTGCCAAAGCTGGCAGAAAGGAGCAACTCTCACCTGGCAACTGGGTGTTCGTCTCGGCGTCCGTCCGCAGATAGGACTGTCCCATTCCTGAGTTAAGTCCGCAACACGTGGATCATAGCTGAAGCTTTCCATTCCCAGCAGTGCAATCGAGGCCTCGAACTGGCCTCGCACCCCAAGCAGTCGCGCTAGGACTGGGGAGACAAAATTGTGCTCCAGCGTCACACTGTGACGACGGGGGAGCCCATACGGCCCCACAAGACCCGAGTGGCTCATTGTGGGGCCTGTTGAGGGGGCACTTTGGGTACCTTGCCTCCTTCGACAGCTTTGGGCTTGCCTTTGTCGCCCTGTCCGGCCTCCGAAGGCTCGGAAGGCAGCTGGGTCCGTCGTCGGGGTGACCGTTCTCTCTCCCGGTCCGCATACATCTCTGCTTGGGTACCCGCTGCTTGTGCCGCTGTCTGTAATGCCTGACTGATCTGCTGCTCCTGCTCCATGATGTGGTCCATGGCCGCCTGGCGCTGGGCCTCTTGGGCCGCCGCCTCGTCCACTGCAGCGTCTTGGGCGTCCTGTGTCTCCATCTCTTCGGTCTCCAAGTCGATGGTCTCCGTTCCTTGCGAAGAGCCCTCGCCTGCCGCCAGCTGCGCGATCGTGCGTGAGCACGCAGCCAACTGTGTTTCCCATTTGGCTTCGTTTTCTGCGAAGCCTGCCATGGCCTTGTTCTTCTCGCCAACTTGCTGTGTCCACATCTCGCAGAGGCCCCCCGTATAGGTCAACCAGGCCTTGGTGTAGTCCCGCCTGGCCGCACGTAGGGCCGCCAATTCGCGGCGGGCCGCTACCTGAGCAGCCACGGCTTTGTGTAACGACCTCGAATAGGCCTTGTGGTCCTGCTGCGTATGTGAATCCAGAAGGTCCTTCACCGACTGAGGTAGATCGTCCCTGGTCTGGGCCAAAACTCCCAGCAATGCTTGCAATGCTGGATCCGTGCCACCTGGTCGCGGTTGCGGCTGCAGGGTGGCATCTGGCGCCAGCCCAGTTTCCGCAGGTGTCGGTGGCTTGGGCAGCGAGGACAGCGAGGGCGGCGGCGCCACAGAAGGGGCCGTGGCTTCCTTGGCCTTGGACTTGTCTTTGCCTTTGTCCTTGCCTTTGTCCTTGCCTCTGCCCTTGCGGGCGCCCTTGCTCGGGGCCCGCTTCCTTGGGGACCAAGCTCTCGCTCGAGGGCTGTCCCATCCTGTCCAAGCGTCCTGTCGACCAGAACCCCACGGTCCATCGGGTCCTGGTTGCGGTGCATAACTCTCCATGCACTGCTGCCAGTGCCCTCCACATTGTTGACAAAACCGGGCACTTGGCTTGCACTGTTGCTTGCAGGCCGAACAACGCCATGCAGCATTCGTCGCCATCTTGAAGGCGTGCAGGCGTCTCAGGGCTTGCTGGGGTAGTGTACTGCGGGAGTGGTGTGTCTGTAACACTCGTACCGCAGCACCCACGCGATCTCTCGAAATATCCTGGCCCTGCAGAAATCCTTGCAGAACCAATCTCGCTGTAGTCCTCTTCCTCCTCAACCGCCGATGCCACGGCACTTCCCCTGAAGGCCGCCGCGTCAGTAAAAATCGCCGCAGTGGCAAAACAGAATGCCACTTGGAAAAAGGTGCGTCCCATGCACCGCCCGGGGAAACACGTCCCGGGAGCCCTCAACGGGGCACTGACCACAGTCAGTAAGGAAAAGGAGGCTCGACAAACCAGTGGGCGTAGAGCAGCCAGCGGTCGTAGAGCCAAAGAGGCAGAGTGTAGTGGGCACCGAGTGCAGCCAAAACACTGTGCGGGTCACGTTGAGTGTCCACGCGGGGTCAATGGCGAAGCGCGAATAGGGACCCAGAGGGAAACTACCTATCCGCTTGCAGCCAAGACGCCTAACCGTTTAGGGTTTAGGGTTAACCCCGAAGCCTCAACACACAAAACCCTGGGCCTGCACTATTCCAACACCAGGCCGGCGCTCCCAACAACCCTACTTGGAGGGTCGGGGGACTTACTGTTGATGGACGAAATCCTGCATGACCCTAAGGACTCTAAACTATGGGAACTATGGTACATTCCTTATAATTAATGGGTAATGCAGGATTTGTCCATCAGCAGTAGTAACTGGTTATTTTAGGGACTTATAAGTGCCATAACTCCAATTAGGGTCCCGTTTAGGGTACTTATAAGTCTACTTACTACCTACTTACTAAGTCCCCCGACCCTCCAAGTACTTACTTAAAACATCGATGGGCTGAGGGCGGTTGCAGGTAAGGTATATGCCCTCGTAAAATCTTATTGCCCCAATTAAAGGTACTTGCAAGCTTACTTGCCTACAAGCCCAAAACCCCTAAACTCTAAACCCCTGAACCCCCAAACTCGAAACCCCTTAATCCCCTTAGCCCTAAACCCTAAGACCATAAACCCTATAGTTACCCTAAGCCCATAACCCCGAAACCCACTGAATCCTCTCTCATCCTTCCAGTCGCCAAGTAGCTTTCCATCGAGGTCGAACTAGAAGTCCAACAACAAGGCGCGGAGTGTGTGGGTGAGTGCTTGTGGGGGGGCGGGGGGCGGGAGGGCACTGCGGTTATGGTTTCGTGTTTGGGGTTGAGGGCTTATGGCTTTAGGTTTTTAGGGGCTTGGGTCTTTAGGGTTTTAGGGTTTACGACTTTAGGGGGTTCGGGGTTTTGGGTTTAGGTGTTCAGGCGTTTCGGGTCTACAGGGAACTACTGAATTCGTAACACAGGTCAGCAAATCGCGGGCGGACCTTCGGGGAAGACAAAACACTAAGTCTTATCATTCCGCGGTCTAGTTGGTAATACTACGTACTAGTCCCTTGCACAAGTACAACTTTAGCACTGGAAATGCCTCGTTTAGGGTCCCGGTTGGATGGTGCTTGGTTGTAGTACATTTTAAGTACTGGGAAGCCTCGTTTGGGGTTGTGCTTGGATCGCGCAACCCTCAACTCTAAACTTCAGGACCCTGAAGCCTGAACTACAAGCCCCAACCCTAAACCCTAAACCCTAAACCCTAAACCCTAAACCCTAAACCAAACCCAAGACCCGGAGCCCTAGATCCCCAGCCTTGAGCCAAGCTGCAGGTCAAGGTGCCGCGATAATGCTTTACAAGCTGGCCGGTTGCGAACGGCCGACCGAATTTGCAGGTTTCCGGGACAAGGGTCCGGGGTTCTGGGTACACCGGGATGTGAGGTGGTAGGGTTTAGGATGTGTGCTTAAGTACAAAAGTCACGTCTGCTGGGCTAAGGGCTTCTAAGCCGAGCTTTGCTGGCTTCGCGATTTCAGGCAAGGAGGTCATCAGGACAATGTCGAGATCTTCCGGCTGCGAAGACAAAGCCTTATGTTACTTAGAGGGTCCATATACACTACCATCATGGAATTAGGTCCCAAAAGACCATCCCAATTATGGTTTTGGTTATGAGTTGAACTACGACGGGTTTCATGTTACATGGCACCATATAGGTTGAGGCTTTAGGTTTCGCTGTAGCTTATCATTGGTTCTGTGGTCAGTCTGAATCGTGCCACTTGCACTGTCTGTCTTGGCAAATTAATTTCATTATGTTTTGTTATGTCTTTCTGAATTGCAGTATACTGTATGTTGTAGTACGTATACCAGTTTCTTCTACATGGCATTAGGTGCAGTGCTTTAACACTACAAAACTTGGACCCATGCAGTTTTCATCATCTCCTTGCACCGTAGCCTCTGGGTAGCCATGTTGGGCCCGTAAGTGAGACCTTGCGAGCGACAGACGGAAGCAAAGCCTAGAACACAAGCACCACAACAAAAACCATGCATGTCGAAAGCACGACACAATAAAGCAAAACCACGAACATGCTGCTCGGGATGTGGAAGTGCTAACGCATTCCGGTGTTTATGGGGTAGCAGTGTTTTCCGAGCAAGGCGGCAGATACTTAAATAAGTAAGACCCTGGACATGCAAGAGAGAGAACGAGAAAGTGTGCAAGAGGCGACACAAAGAACCAGACGGGAAAGACTGCTGAGAGAGAGAGAGAGAGAGAGAGAGAGAGAGACAGACAGAGGGAGACACATGCAGATAGAGACAGCAAGACAGGGAGGGGCCTAGAAAAGACTAGCAAACGGCAGAGAGGGGCAGAAAGAGAGAAAGACAGAGTCACAGAGGTTGTTTCAGGTTGTCTACACAGTCCTTGAATGCTGCATCATCGCACACAAGCAAAATACATTCGGGTCGTTGCATGGTCGCTGTCGTGACTGAGACATCGACTTGAGGCTGTTTGTGTAGGGTTGGGGATTCCATCTTGCTAAAAGTTACTGCAAGTAAACTGGACCTTCGGGTTCCTCGTCATGATTTCGGTACCACATAACTATGAAGGAGGATAAGCCCCCATGATGCGCATTAGGCTTGACATCTGGGCCTGTGGTCTGCAGGCTGCAATGGCGGACCCACGAGGAGCCACGTCATGACCAGTGCAGTGATCCTTGGTTTCGTTGGTTCAGAACTTCGGAATCTTCTAGGATGCCCAGTAGTACCCTTATTCCCTTTTTGTAGTCCTAGGTTCCTTATAAAGTTACCCAATACCAAAAAGAGAGGCCTTTTTATTCTTAGGTTACTGGGTATCCTAGTCTTTGAAAGTGTGCTGTAGACCCTAGGTTCCTAGAGTGAGAAAATGCCTTAACCATAAAGATGTCTTTTAGGATGGCTTTTATGGGTCCTATACCTTAAATTTAGAGTTCTCCCTAATGTCCACATTTAAAGGGTTGTGCTGAGTCTAGGCAGCCAGCTTCTTCCTAAGCTCAAGATCGGAATTAGTGGCTAATACTATCCTGTAGTTAGTAGCGATGCAACTACAGCACATTATACCCCAAAAGCCCCATTGAATCATTAAGAAGGTGTGGGGGGAGTCTTCGTACAAATTAATGCTAGTTCCTTACGGTCGCTTGTTTAGGGTACAGCGCTTGAGGGGTCACATTACACTATAATAAGGCCCCAATATGGGCGTTGCCGAAAATGTGGGAGCCTAAGTAGTACCCTGAATAGTAGGATCCTTCTTATAAGGACCGCAAAATTAAATAAGGTACCCCCTAATTTTCGGAAACTGCCATACGACCTAGGTCCTTCGACCTTGGTCTCTACAACTTGGGGAAGATGGCACCTCAAATTGTGGGGAATGGCCTTGGCTACGAAGGGGTTGCTTTGTCACAGTTGGCTAGCATTTTAGATTTTTTATGGGTACTTAAACCCAACAAGGAACCCTAAAAAAAGCCAAAATCCTAAACCCTGAGCCTCAAACCCTAAACCCTGAACCCAACCCATGAACTAGGTTAGCAGTCTCTTTATCGACCAAACTGTTGCGGATGCTGCACTTCGAGACTCAGGCACTTGGTGTTTTCCTTGGTTTAGGGCTTATAGCATTCAGGGTTTAGCTTTTGGGGTTAGGGTTTAGTTTAGGGTTTGTGGTTTAGGGTTTAGGGATTTCGGGTTTACCGTAGGTTTAGTAATTCAGGAGACTCTTCAAAGGGGACCCTTCTTAGCCCGACTAATGGCGCTAAGCTTCGACCCGAAACCCCGAAACCTGAGCCCCGGAAGCTAAAGCCCCAAAGGCAAGCTCCAAGGGCAAAAGGAGGGACCCTTAATGGGGACCCCTACCCTATAATGGACCATATAATGGGCATATAATAGCTATATTAAGGTTCTATACCTAGGGGTCCTTATGAAGGGTTCCTCCTTTTACCCTTGGAAAAGCCCTCAGGCTTGCCACTCGCATTCTACCAGAGCTGGAATGCTTCCTGGTTCGATCCTTCAGCATATTTCGACAGCTACACCACGATACCGACCTCGTTGCTCACTCCTTGCAACGAAACACAGTTCGGTAATGTGAACTTCATGGCAGACTACGTGAGGGTTACTGGAGATCATGAAGGCTTAAATCCAGATGGTACGGCCGTCTGCCCGGATGGCTTCTGGTTCTTGGCCTCGAGCTGTAGGGCAAACCCATCTCGATGCGTTCCCTCAATTGCGTCGACTACACCACGAGGCCGAGATATCCAGCAGATGCTTCAAAAAAGCGCAGCTTTTGACATGCCCCTTGCCATTTCAAGGCCGACGGGCCAAAGTGCTCGATTTGCAATTCCACCTGCCTACAAGGTGGCTTTTTGGAACCTAGCACCTGGTTTCAATTTCCTGCCCATGCGGATGGTTGCTGTCCAGTTTCCACCGCAAGATGCTGTGGCATGGGCACAAGGAGACCTCCGAACTATGTTTTCAGGAGCACTCAGCCAAAAATTGGTATCTCGGGATTTGAGCGTCCTTGCACCGCCAGTGGTGGAGATGCTCACCAAAATGGAAGTGTCAAATGCCGTAGTCGACCAGCTTCTCTTCGACTATGTTGAATCTGGCCAGTCTATGTGCGAGTGGCTGCTCAACCACCGTGCTGTATGGTCATCGTGGATCCCCGATGAGACTCAGTGCAGCCCCGGATTCGGTCTCCACAATGTTTCTGGAGGCGCGCATTGGATTTTCGAGATCGGGTGCGAGGGTTCGGTCTCAGCGTTTAACTTTAAGTTCCGAAATTGAAGGTTCAGGGGCTTGCAGTCTGTCCGTCCGGACGCTAGCACTAAATTTGAACGCCATGCGTTGGAACGATTGCAGGAAATCATAACTGCTAAGCGTAATCCTAAGCCTTAAACTAAATTAAAGAACAGAAAGAAGCCATTGCACTTTAACAGAGACGAGATTGTAAATTGGAAGCCTTAGATCCTAAATCCTGGCAGGCCAAGGAGTTCACGAACCACCAAGTTCTCATTGAAGAAAGCCCTGCTAAAACTCCCGTCCTTCCCTAGTTTGAGGGACGAGGGCCACCCCCGGAACCACAACTGCAAGAGGGAATGCCAGTGTCAATTGACTCCTCATCCCTATCTTCTCACGACGAGAACGCGCAATTTTCCAAACCAGCTATCTTGGCAATCCCGCGTCGTCTCAATGTGTCGATGTTTCACAACTTGCGTCCTTAACATTGCCACTTGATCTTGAAGTCTTTACCCAGTTGGACCCATCAAAACCGAAAACTGCCGGAGGCCAGTATGCAACCAGCCGAGAAGATGCGGATCTTATCACCTGCAAAGCATGCTCGTCTGGGCGCTACTCGGAACAGCTCCCTGCTTGAAGACGCACCGTCCAAAGCAGTGCGACGGTACTCTCGGGGTCGGAATAGTTAGTAGCCGAATCACCATAGTGTCACTGTATGCTTGCATTGCCAGGGAATGCCAAGCATTTTCTTATTACAAAAACCTTTAAATAACAAGAAGTCTATGTACATCTCTATACATATATATATATATATATACATATGCACCACACAAAAGCTGTAAAACTTGATCAGGAATTAGTAAGGCACCGATAGTACTTTGAGGTGGAGGCACCAGTTCTTAATTGCTACTCTCATTCGGAGGTTTGATATACGGGTCACCCCCCCCTGAGTTCGCTTTTTAGTCTAGGCTCCTAAGCCTTTAAGGTGTTCGGGGGGTAGTGGTACCCTAAACTCTACCTGGATCCTAAACAACCTACCTCTTGACGACTTGTAAACGGAAATCACTCGCAATAGGGGTCATTCGGGGTTGAGGTAAGCCCCAAAACAGAAACCCCCAGTCCCTAAACCCCACAAGCGTAAACCCACCCTAAAACTAGGACCCAGAGTAGGCCCCTTATTCCCTTTTAAGGGATCAGGTTCCCTTATAAGCTCCTTTAAAGCAAAAAGGGCACCCTTTTTATTCCTAGGTTACTCTTGGGCCTTGAAAACAACAAAGGCTTTTCGACCAGCGAGGCTACACCCACACCTGCGATCTGTGCCCTGCTGGCAGCAGTCAACCTTCAGGCACTGCCTGCTGCGGCGATCCAAAATTCCTACGTAATTGATAAAGAACTCCTATCTTTATGGGCTCTTTTACGGGATCTATGATATAAGGGTTTTGGGGTTTCGGGTTTTTCCGATTTAACATTGACATCGGGACACTGACCAATATGACTCCTTAGGGCTTCTTATCGGTCAAAGTATGTTAAACTTCCCAAACCCTGCTCTGATGAAAAAGGCTTGTCGTGTACCTATTAGGGTTTAGGGTTTAGGGTTAGGGGTTTTAGGGTTTAGGGTTTAGGGTTTAGGGTTTTAGGGTTTAGGGTTTTAGGGTTTAGGGTTTAGGGTTTAGGGTTTAGGGTTTTAGGGTTTAGGGTTTAGGGTTTTAGGGTTTACCTACATTTTGGCCTTCATTATGATGTCCTTGTATATGTTCGACTAGGGTTTGTTTCAGGCTCAGGTTAAACCTAAGCCCTAAACCGTTTAAGAGTTTGCATGGTTCAGGCATGACCCTGAAACCCGAAGTTCGAGCGAAGCTGGAATCAGTTTGTAAATCCACTTCGTACTTCAGGGGTTGAAGGGTTTTAGCATTTTAGGGTTGTTGGTGTAGGGTCTTGGGTTTAATAAGGAGTCCCTCAATCAAACGCCCGAGGACCTGAAAAACCCATGAAGCCTGACACCCTCACCCCGAACCCTTTAGACCTTTCGAGCTTGGTAACCGGGTTGCGCGCGATTCGAACACCTGCGGATTGAAATGGCGGTTAGTGGCGGTGAGAGTAGTATCGGACTATAGGAGCTTTATAAGCCGATTGCTGTGGTAAGCAATGACGAGGGAGTTTCCGAAATTGGGGATCCAAATATAGTAATTACCATAGTTACATAGTAGGATCCTTATCATCAGGACCCCAAAATGAGGTACCCCTAATTTTCGGAAACTCCCACGAGGGTCTTCCCATAACTCATACGGGAGACCCGGCGACATGGCCTAAACGAACCTTCGCTGCACCGAAATCGCAGCGGTCCATGTCCTTATGTGGGATTTGCCGAAAGTAGGGGACCCTACTATGGTACCCTAAATGGTAGGATCCTTAGTATAAGGAGCCCAAAGATAGGTACCCCTAATTTTCTGAAACTCCCATGTAGTATATGCCTTGTAACCAAAGTGCCTGTGTAGGAACCCCCTTTAAGGCTCTCAGAGTAGGCCGCATTGGCTTCATTCCGGAAGCCGTCGAACCCTCTGTCTCGAAGCCACACTAACCCTAAACCCTAAACCCTGGCGCAGAAAACCGACGACACTCATTCCCCCGAGCCTGGAATCCCATAGGCTTTAGCCCTGAAGCGGAGACCTTCAAGCCCCAAGATAGAAATTTGTGTGTATATATACGAATAGACAGATATAGATAGATAGATCATTAGATAGGTATACATATGTATATTTGTATGTATCTATGTAAGCGGTCTATGTATAAGCATTAGTATGTTTGGACACATACGAGTGCCAACTCAAGTACGAGCAACTTGGAGAGGGATTTATGGTTTATGGCGTACAGTATTAATATTGATTGCTTTTTCTTATTTCCGTTGACATTATGTACAATTACTCCAACTATTGTTCTTAATGACTAGTGTGCTTTGTGTAGATGATGATTGCGATGACCATTCTGTAAAGGTATGGGTGTAGCACGCAGGTCTCACTGTCAGAATGAACCTTCGTCTCGTTATTCGTTTCTCGCTTCTATGCTGCGATGCTGTTGGTTGCCTGGGGCGTTGTTACATCAATGCTGGAGCCAGAAACGACATGTATGCGCTATCTGTTGTTAGACCATCATTCTCTGTAGTTGTGCATTCTGAAAGCTGGTGTTTACACTATGGCTAGCACTGTCGTGATGTAATGCGGCTTCCTAGTGTCACTGTGAGTAATTTCGCGGTTTAGCATTCAGAGTTTGGGGTTGAGTTAAGGGCGCAGGGCTTGGGATGTTTGGCAATCCTGCAGGCGCAGCTGTGTCCTGTGAGCCCTGCGGCACCGGTGAATACCAGGAGGGGTGGGCTCAGAATGCCACAAGGAATTATTCGGGTTTAGGCTTTAGGGTTCGTTGCTCAGGGGCAAGACAGCCCTTCAATTCAATCAATGCTAAACCATAAGACCCCAAAGCCTAAGCAGCGAAGGCGTAGAGCTCACATCAGTGTTCAAGAACTTAAGCATGAGCTGAATGCAGAGCTTGGGGTTTAGGGGCTTGCTGAAACCACCAAATCGAGAATTCAACTTTGCTTTGTGGGAGCTTCGGCATCTAGCCATATCCGAAACCCGACGCTCTTAGCCACTTCGTTGGGTTTAGGACTTTACTCTACGACCTTAGGCACCATGATTACAAGCCCCTACATCCTAACCCTCAACTTGGCCCTCCCCAGAGCCATAAACCCCGAACCCTTTAGTCCCTAAACTCAACCCCGAGCGGGGCCTTCGAAAATCTCATCGACCATAATCCCGGGCTCGCCACACCCCATAAGCCTTTTATACCCTAAACCATATACCCGATAAGCTCCAAGCCCTTCGCAGATTGGGCGGTTGCACCCAAAGACTAGGATGCCCAGTAGTACCCTTGCTCCCTTTTTGTAGTCCGAGGTTCCTCTCAAGGTACCCAATGCCAAAAAGGGAGCCCTTTTTATTCCTAGGTTACTGGGCATCCTAGAGTTGGAAACTTCCAAATCAAACTCCAAAGCGAAAGCTCCAAGTCAGGTTTTCTTTACATTTTTGTGAGCTTACCTGGACCCTGTAAAACCTACCTTGTTTAGGATATATAATAAATATTAAGGAGCCCCTAAACAGTTAGGTTCTTTAAAGTCCAGGTATGGCTTAAGGTTTAGAGATTAGGATGGAGGGCTTTCCTAGGAGTCGGGCTTGAGAGCAAGGGGCTCAGGGTGTATATGGGAGTTTCCGAAAATAGGGGATCCTAATATAGTACCCTAAATAGTAGGACTCCCAAATAAGGTAACCCCCTAATTTTCGCAAACTCCCATATTATGTTGATAGGGCTGATAGGGCAGATAGGGATGAAGAGCTGATGGGGCTAAGGGGTTATGAGATTTCGAGATGTAGGGTTTGTAGGGTGTAGGGTTTAGGGTTTTGGTGGTTCTTTCTCCTCAGTCCACCCATTGACGCCTTGAGGATGTGGCGGGGAGTAAGACTTGCAAGCGCTGTGGTATCGGCACCTACCAGGATACGACTGGCTCGACCGGCTGCAAGAGCCTTTGATGTGGGGCTTGATGCTGTAGTTAATGTATAGTTACCCTGAACCTCATATAAACCCTAAACCCTCAAAAGAAAAACTTAAACTCTAAGCCACAAACCGTAATAGGGTTGTAGGTGTTGGGTTTAGGTTTCAGGGAGCCTTTGATGCGGTGTCGGTGCATCGTGTACGGGTCTGGTGGGCCGGCCGAAGGTTCAGAGTCCGTGGCGTACTTGGAGGGTCGGGGGACTTAGTAAGTAGGTAGTAAGTAGACTTATAAGTACCCTAAAAGGGACCCTAATTGGGGTTATGGTACTTATAAGTCCCTAAAATGACCAGTTACCAAGTCCCCCGACCCTCCAAGTACTGTTCGGTTGAGGGCTTCAGTGTGAAGGCTTTGAAGCTCATATTATTAGTGTTAGCATTATCAGAATATTAGCACTTTGGTTATTGTGACGATGACTCTTACTATTATGTTGATTGTTGTTCTTGTTGCCTTTATCATTACCATCATTACGATTCAGTTAGGCATTTTTGGCGGCGGAGGCTGAGGAGCTGGTGAGTCATTGCCCTAAGCGTCCATGCTCTCAGACATTATGTACTTTGTCCTTGAAGCAGTCCCTAAACAGGTACTACAGGGCCAAACTATGCATTATTTGGGTACATGGACCCTTGAACCCGAAATTTTTTGGCACCCTTGTAGAACCCTTGCAAAGCACCCCTTTTTGGACCCTTACGGTACCCTTATAGAACCCATGAAACTGTTGATGGAGGAAATCTTGCACCAGTTTAATTGGCCAAGCCAAGCAGACACCCCACTCCCCCTTTTTAACATTGACCGGTGATCCTCGGAAGTGCCGTGGGTTCCAATGACAAAAATCTTGCACCACCTCGGTATCCATCATCTTCAATGTTAAAAAGGGGGTGCGGGGTTATGCTCAAGTGTCGTGTCACCTGTTACTAGGCAGATGGTGCAAGATTTCCTCCATCAACCGACAGGATCCTTCTCGCTGAGACAAAGTAGCCTGTGTCTTCAATCGACTGTACCACGCATCCTGTGACGGGTACCATCCACA